ATACTTCCGGGTTTACGTACTCTGTATTATCTGTCTCTTATACACATCTAGATGTGTATAAGAGACAGTGTTTAATGTTATCAAATGGATTTTGAATTTTATTATAACATATTTATTTGAGTAAACAGCCCAGGGCGATTAAAGTGGCAAGAGTATTTGAGGGAGTGTTTATTCAGGGGACATGTTTATTTAAAAATTGAGACTAATATATAACGCTTATAATTATACAAAAAAAAAAAAAAAAAAACTCATTTCAAAATACTGTATTTTGAAATGATGTAGAGTGATATTGATTATATAAATTCTTTACCTCCTCAAGACTCGTTGTTGGCTCCAATTAATTCTGCATGCATTCATGATGCCGAGACATTTTTAGGCATCCATTCGCTCTGTGACTTTATGGTTTATTACTGGTTTTGTTGGTGCAATTTGCGTCTCTCTAACAATTTTCAGTGGCTGAATTTTATATAAAAAATATTAGTGATCTTTGTAATTCAAATTAAATTTCCATTTTAAATGTACTATGTAATTTACGGTTACTTGATAAATTAATAAATAAAATAAACTGAACTTACACGTCCTTGCGTTGTGAGTGCCATCTTACCATTCAGTAGGTCTTTTCGAACAAGGCTATGTGCCATATTTTTTAGTTCTTTTGGGCATACTTCATTTTCTGATGAAGTGCTCTCTATTTCTTGCACAGCATGTATTATTTTCTTGAATGCCTGTTCTTTTATGCTTTGACATTTGTGATTGTTGGTTTCGCATAACACTAAGTGTTCTTTGCAGTTCTTACACTGAGGGCGCTTGACTTTTCTAGATTTTTATTATAGGTTGGAACAGCTGTGACCTCAACAAAACTAGTGACGGTACTTAAGCTAGAATACCCCTCAAAAATAATAGAACAGTCAATTCTCAGGTCTATGTTACTCAACCATATTTGCATCTGCATGGTCGGTTGCATCATGATACATGAGGGCTACTGGTCAGTTGCAAGATGCATGATACATGAGGCTACTGGTCAGTTGCATGATACATGATACATGAGGCTACTGGTGCAGTTGCAAGATGCATGATACATGAGGCTACTGGTCAGTTGCAAGATGCATGAGGCTCTGGTCAGTTGCAAGATGCATGATACATGAAGCTACTAATCGGATGCATCTCAGTCAATCATAAAATAGGGACCTCAGGATGTTTACAATAATGATGCTTTCCTGCTGAATATGTGAACATTTATATGTGCTAAATACTGTCACAAGGTGACGTTGAAATTGTGGAGCAAACAAACAACTTGGGAAGGAATACAATTTAACAATTTTACTAAATGAAATGATAATTATTACCAAATACTGATTAATTATGTTTGATATAAAATGATAAAGTTAATAACTTGACCACAACTGATTGATTGTTGAGTTAAATAGTGGTATCTCCTACCTTTCTAGCATCTTGATCAACTTTAACTGCACTCAACAATACAGAGCAAATTTGACATCTTATGGCTCTTGGAACAGAAACAGGTAAATGGTAGCAACATTACTGTGGAAACATTAATTCAATAGTAATTAATATTGTATTAAAAATATACACATTTATATATTATATATTAATTTGCAAATAAGGATTTTATTTTCACTATTATAATTGTAATATTTAATTATCAATATTTAGGTCTACCATGATGATCATTAGCAATAGTAGTCTGGTCTCTAAAGTGAAGAGAGCATGGGGGGTAATTTAGCTCTGTGGTGTGCTGATCTGTCAACACCTTTCCGTCCCTTGCTCAATTCTATCTGGGCTCTCCTTGTGATTTACCTGGAGGCATGGAATGTAAGTTACAATAGCGCAAATAAAGCACATTCTGCAGAGAAGAGTTTAGGCCTAAACAGTACGGGATTGCCTCCTCAGTGTACTACCAATTTACTACAAGGACGCATTAAAAAATATTAGTTTCCGAGATTTTATCGATTCCAACAAATTATCACTATAAATACAGTACTTTTAAAATAGTAACGTAAAGGTATATGTAGGAGAATAAGCATTAACTAACAGCATCATTGTGCTTAATATGGGCGTGGTTTGGGCGTGGTTTGTGATACTGGAGCAGCTGTGTTAAAAAAAGTTAAATTGCAACAAGTGCCATGAGCCACATACTTGTGGTGGATTGCCATACAAATTGCCATTTATTATATTTTTAAATATTAAAAGTGTAAGGTAGGACATCCCAAAATTTGCTTGATTTGAGATGGAATGACCCTTCCTCTTCTCACAGCGCTACCTTTTTGTCACTGCACCCTCTCTACCAAACAAAACAAACTACAAACAAACAAACTGCCTCTGGAATTGTTTTATAATATACTTCCACTTTAAATTACAGGTCTCTAAAGACCCCACCAATTAAAGACCACCTCCAATTAAAGAAAACTGTGTTGTGGTCTCAAATTAGCCAAAGCTGAAAGACTACAGAAACCCTGGTCACAAAAGTGGTCTCTAATTGGAAGGAGACCTGTAGCTTAATCCACTCACTAAACTCAACATTATCATTTTTCTTGCAGCACTGTGAGGCAACCAATGCGAGAGCACTTCGCAATAAAATTAATATTAAATATTATTAAATAAAATAAAAGCAATCATTTGAGCATACCATAGTTTGACAAGATTTGCCTCTTTAACTGATCTCTTCAATGAGTTTGGTTGACAACGAAAATTTCAGTGATGCTAACTAAGAGTAGTAGCAAGACATTAAAACGTTCGCAATCACTCGGCCTGCACTCAATCAGTTTCTAATCTAAAAAACAAAAGATTATCGTCATTTGACCTTCAAAACCACAGAAAGAATATGATCGCACCAGTAGAAGCACTAGCGGGGCAGGGGAATAATCCCCAGTTGGACAGACACCACTCCCCCCCCCCCACCCCCCACCTCAAGACTCAGATTCCATTTAATTTAATAAATGAAATGAATTGCACATGAAATTTGTTTTCCTGAATTAGGAATACACAAAATATACACAAAAGTTAAATAATTACTTGAAAGACAAAGATTAAAAACATAAATACAGTGCATGCAATACATAAATTACATCTAAATTAATAATAGAATAACTATACAGTAAAGAAGGTCTAAATGAGCTGTATACTCAAAGGAGGTAAACAAATTTGAGTTGTTTACAAAATGGATCAAAATAGAGGAACAAAGCGAGGATGTACCACTGTGCACTTTTGTTTTTCTATTTGATGTGACACTCTGTACTTGGCGCTATGCATATGTGAATAGTGGAGGTCAAATATGTTGATAATTTGAGGGGCACCATACCTGTCACTGTGCATTACATGGCTGTGGAGAGAATCTTCAGATCTACAGGCCACACATCCTGTCATCACACAATGGCTACAGGCCTTGTCTCCCAAACCACTATAAAGTAAATAATTAAAATGAATATGATAAACATGTATTATGTAACAATTAAATAACTTTTTTTATTCTGAATATATTGCTGTCATTCTTTCTGTGTTTCCTTATGTTAATTTTTATTGATTGGTTATTGTTAATATTAAACTTCAATTATGTATACAAGATTGCATTGCACATCACTTTTGAGTATGATGCCATTCATTATATTATTGTTTCTATTAATCTTGTAGTAGCAAAATTTTAGGCAATTTGTTTCTTCTGCCTTACCGCTCGGCCACTCGACTAGCCTCATGCGAGGAAATGTTAGTTTACAAAAATAAGGTGATTTATCTACTTGAGCATGATTTATTTTGCCTTGTACATTTTAAATGGGAAGGCGCAAGTTTGTTTCTTTTTTTGGGGTGGGGGGGCATGCAAATGATGCTCAATGATGGTGCTACTTCCAAACTTGTCCATGCATTAGTTTAATCTCGATTGGATTATTGCAATGGGGTACTTTATGGCTTGTCCTAGAAACTGCTGAGAAAAGTCCAGTGAAATGTAGCAGCCAGACTCATTGCTTTCACTCCTAAACGTGGGCATACACCACATCCCCAACTGTACATCGTCTCCATTGGTTACCCATTTATCTGAGAATTAACTTCAAGATCTTGTTATTTGTATATACTGTAAGTCACTCCATAAATCATTCCCCCACTACATCTCCAATCTTATTTCACTTCATTCTGCTGTTTGCAGCCGCAGACTTGGTCTACCTCATCTTCACTTACCATTCAACTGTCCCATTGGTCACCACACAACTTGTGGCAATCGTTGTTTCTGGTTGCTGCTCCAAAGCTTTGAAACCAACTACTGTACCTGAGACTGTTTGACTGTCTTCAATTCTTGCCTCAAATCCCATCTTTTTTCTTTATTTTAATTCTGAATTTGATTCATTTCTTTTGATTTTTGTTTAAAGTTCTTTCTATTTTTGTGTGCACTTGGGCTGTGGTTTTTTTACATAGAAATGAATTTGTATTATGCGCCTTATATATCACTATTACCATTACCAGTATTATGAAGTAGTGCAATTTGTGAATTACTATCAACTAATAGCGGGTGTGATCATGGCTCCTCTGCTAAGTCTCTGTATGACCCAATAGGGCTTCTGCCTTGCTGAGGGCTACTAGGTGGATTTAGTGGCATAAATGCATCTCAACTGTCTCTTGTATAGTAAAATTCTTAAAAGAAGAAAAACAAAGATTAAAGAATAGATAACCACTATGCTTTAGTGCACCCACATGTAATTCATAATCAATTTGTTGTTCAATTTTTAAGGATTTTTTTCTCCATAAGTAAAACTTACTACTGAAATGTTTTTATTTTGATTTACATATAGTGATATTAACAGGTTGAACTATATCGTGCAAATAAACAAGGTCTTTATGCTTTACCCATTAAAACATCAACAAAAACCTAAAATAAGTAAATAAGAATCCCCCCACCACTGTATAATATCTATTATTGACATTTTTATCACCATTGTTTAAAAAAAATCCATTCAAAGTATATTTATCTCTGAACATAAAAACGACAACCTGCATATTAGTTTATCTTTAAAAGGATACCAGTCCTTCTTAAAGTCCAGTATTGATCACGAGGTCATCACCGCAGGCCGACCTTACGGTGGTATCGGCTTTGTATGTAAGATTACTCCTGGTTTAGTATTTAGAGAAGTCCCCATCGATAACGACAGAATATCCTAGTCCTATAATGATAGTTGAGGACTGTAATGCCTCACTTCCTAAAAACCACCAAATTTGTAGAAACTGGTATAAAAGACATCCATACACTGCTCATTGTGTATTGCTTTTTTACTTTACTTGTGATTAAACGACTTCTCTATTTGTAATTTTGAATTTGAACAGAGTGTTAATTACACTTATGCTAAAGGTAATTATTCAAGTTATATTGACCATGTTATTGTAAATGATTATTCGTTCAGCAAGGGGAAGGATTGTCGGATTCTAACCAATGCCTTTTGTGATAACACTAGCGATCATCTTCCAACCCTAACTACAATTGAGATTGTTGTTTCGCCACAGAAACAACAAAGTGAAGATGTTAAACAAAGAAAGTGTTACCCTAAATGCAACTGGGATTCCGACAGCTTTTGCTTTGCTTATGAAGAAAGTCTGGCACACCTTTTAAATCATATTAATATTAATTGTTGTGATATACATGATGAGAACTCAGCACAGATTTTTGTAAATAGCCTATGTGAAAATATTGCAATAATCATTCATAATTCTGCTATTAAAATCTAGTGCAAAAAAACCTAAACAAAAAGAGTTTCCCAGGAAAACCCACTGGTGGAATCAAAATTGCACAATTGCTCGAGATAGACAACGCTTCTGGTATCGAATTTGGAATCAATGTGATAGACCCCACGACGGCCACGTGTTTATCTCTTACAAATACGCTAAAAAGGTCTACAGGCAAACATGTAGATCTGCTGTTAAAAACATTGAATCAAAAAAATATTATACCTTAAACCGATTTTTCAGAGAAAAAAACCAAAAAAATTTCTGGGAAGCAGTAAAAAAATCTAAAAACACAATCGTTATGGAAATGCAATCACTATCTATCAACACTCACCGATTTCTTTGAGTCCAAATTTGATAAAGATGAGTACAGTTCCCAAACAATTATTGATGCTCAGAAGGAGGTCACTACCAAAATGAATAACATGAAAGATTTAATTTTAAATTCAAACTATTTTAACACTGACTCCATTATTAGATATATTAATACTTTAAACAATAACTCTTCTCCAGGCCCCGACGGAATTACTGCTCAACACCTTAAGCATGGAGTAAAATCAAAACTCCCCAAGATTTTGTCAGTGATATTTAACACACGTATTAAATACAGAGTTGTTCCAAATCTTTTTGAGGAAGGTACGTTAATTCCGATTCTTAAAAAGCAAAGTCTAGATCCATCGGTGCCAAGCAATTATAGGCCCATTATTGTCTCAAATGTTTTATCTAAGATTTTTGAGATATGTGTCCTCGAATTTCATAGGGATATTGAATTTGATGCAATGCAATTTGGATTTGTAAGTGGTCGAAGTACCAGCATGGCCACCGCCACCTTTAGTGATGTTATTAATTATTGTGTAAATCAGGGCTCCAGTGTTTACTCCTGTTCTTTAGATGCCGAAGGTGCATTTGATGCAATTCCCCATGTCGTAATATTTCAAAAACTTATTCTGCAATTAAATCTGACTGGTGGTGCTGTATGTATAAATGGTACACAAATATAAACGGCACTGTTAAATGGAATAATATGACTAGTAGAAGTATTGCAATCCGCAAAGGTACTAGACAAGGAGGACTATCTTCATTTATATTTAACTTGTTCTTTAAAGATCTGGTAAATGGTTTAAATGAACTTAATTGCGGTATTGTGGTTGCAAATTGTAAGTTTAATACATTCTGTTATGCGGACGATTTACTTTTAACAAGTCTTACCGCCACTGGTCTTCAAAAACTTATTGACTACGCCAACAATTACATACTATCTCATGGGTTACGTTTCAATCCCATTAACACATCTTGTACAACATTTGGCATACAAAGTTTATCACAGCCCCGGTATGGACTTTAAATAATCATACCTTGAAAGTCACAGACTCTGTAACCTACCTGGGGGTCACACTTAACAGCAATCTAAAGGGAAATTCTCACGTTGATGCGAGAATTCGTAATTCCCAGAAAGCCTTCTTTTCATTACAAAGTATCGGCGTGTGTAAACAGGGCTCTTGTACTGAGGTGACACTTCACATTTGGAACACTGTAGTTGTTCCTATTCTTACATATGGTTGCCAATGTATTGATATCAATAGAGTTGACAACGTGGATAAAATTCAAAGTAAGTTGGTAAAGGCATTTTTTGGTATCCCTAAATTTTGCAGGTACTCCTCTGTTACATGCAGTTAACTTGCCCAAGATTAAAGATATTATTTTGTCATCCCAGCTCGATCTTTTGTCACAAATATTTGCTAATGACTCCACCTCCAGGAAATGTTATGCCTATTACTTAATTGTGAAGCTAACGGTAACATGGTATACAAGAACACGTCTTATTGATAGGATAAAGAAAGGCCTGGTTGACTTGGATATCTCTCTTTTCTCGACACTATAGTATTTAATTATAGCTATAGACGAAAATTGAAGACTTCTAAGAATAGTGATTGTATTAACCACGGTATTTGTGACAGTCTTAAGACATTAATCCATAGGAAAACATGCATTAATCAACAAAACCTCGACTTAATTATCATGCTCACCAAACCATTTTAACTCTGGTTGTCATTTCTTTCTGGATGAGGGTTTTGTTCGTTTGTTTTCCCGTTATCTCTGTTTTCTATGTAATTTTATTGCTTGTTGTTTGTGTTTCTCATTTCTGGAGGTTTTTGAATAAAATTGAAATTGAATTGAATTTAATACATAGTACCATCCTATTATACATTTTATTGTATTTTGTATTGTTATTGGCCAAAGGTTTAGAAATGACCACTTGATGTGTTGTTAGGCTTTCCTATGTCATAGTCACACCCCTGGTCAATATATATTGAAAGGTATTTGAGAAACCCTATATTCATAAAAACTTTTTCATCTGTATAGGGAAGGATATTTAAAAGGCGAATTTTCAACACTGCATGAACAAATCAAAGGCAAGATCTTATTTTACCTGAGAGTATTTGTAAAAAATCAACTTAGCTTTTTGTTCAAAACCTGGACTGTTGATTGGCATTGGGGGGGGGGGCACTAATACATAAAATCAGATGTAACCTATAGAGTAAGGGCAGGCATAGAAGAGGTGGGCTTATACCCCAAAACACTGCAGTATCACATGAATAGGAAGAGTCTGTACACATACCTGTCTCAATTGTTCTTCTTGTTTCCTGTATCCACAATCTCCATCGAAGACCATTCCTTTCATATTACATACCAGTAGAAATCATTATGATCCTTAAACTTGGAAATCATGGGACCACTATATGCACTATAAAAAAAACAAATTACATATTAAAATAGCAACCTGAAGAAGTTGATTGCATAAAGAAAAAGCTGGGTGTTCAATGAATTATATTTTGTGTATTAAAAAAAAAGTGCTGTTTGATATATTTTTTTACTGATTTAGTTGAGACTAACACAGTTACTCAGAGGTCTAAGTTGGAAGAAGTCACTTGCTGGAGATCTGATTAATGAGCTTCTTAAACACATGTAACTTTATTTAGCTGCACATGGTGATACTCATCACCAGCTGACTTGCGTGAGACCATTGATAATTACAGTACTGTTGTATAAACATGTAAATATTAGGAATTTGCGCAAGATTGGTTAATTTCCAGGAGATTTCTGCTTTCTTGGGGAATTGCCATAGGCCATCTTGTTTCGCAGGCGATCCCTGCGACTCTTGGAGATTTGGCACCCCTGGGCTACTATTACTACTAAAGTAACGTATATATTATAAATTTTCGTATTAAGATTGGTTAATTTTCAGGAGATTTCTGCTTTCTTGGGGAATTGCCATAGGCCATCTTGTTTTGCTGGCGATCCCTGTGATTTGGCATGCATGGGCTACTACTACTACTAAAAATAACTTTATTTAGCACAAACAATATCCAATTAAAATGATCACAGGCGCTGTACAGGATTTTTAAAATATAAATTTACAAAAAATCAATACTCGATATACTACATGATATAACAAGATATGAATTTGGGAAGACATCAAATTCTACATTTTTTTCTGTGCTTAATATCAGTTTCTGGTTTTATGGCTTTCTTTGCTTTTCAAGCTTTCTGGGTCTTTCTCTTTTTTTCTTTTTTTTTGTCATTCTAGTGTTGAAAGTAAAGTGATCAATAATACCTATAAGCTTGTAAAAAAAAAAAGAAGCATTAACATTTATTTGTAGACATGTTTCATTGCCAACCTAATGGGGTGGGTAATGTTTGGCAATTAGGCCTAAAATATAGGCACATGGGCCTTAGTTAAATGCTGTTGAACTTTGAAACTAAACACAGCAATTTTTCCCCTTATAAAAAATAGTACGATTGTCCAGTGCATTTTATTAAAAAACAATTTCAAAATTTTACTACAAAACAAAGGTTATTCAAATGTGTGTTGTTTGGGCTTAACTGAGTAGAAAATGTGAAAATAATAAACTATTAGCTACAAAACATCATTAAAACAAGTAGAAAAAATAATTGTCATAGCAAATCTATCATGTTAAGTATTATAGTCGTTATTATATTTTACTACTTTCATTACTACTATCATTTGTGAGAATTATGATACAATATATACTTTATTTGAATAATATAAAATTTACAGCTGCAGTATATAATTAAAAATAAAATATATAAATACATTTTTTAATAACAATGTGATGGTGATATTGCTCAATAATCAATCAGTCAGTTAATCAATAAATCAATGCATACATGAATAAATAAACCACTACAAAAAATCAATAAAAAATGTATTTTTTACTATATTATTAATTGCAAATTTTGAATTACGTATTATTATATTACCACAAAACTCCTATGATAAAGGTATTGTTATGTATTATAGGCAAACTATCTTGAAGACTCATTTTTGTAATTGTACAAATGATGTGAATGTACCTGTACTTTGTTTTAATGCCTACTGTATTATTTTTTACTCTATAAATCACATTACACAATTCAAAACCAGTTGAAATTGTTTGATCATCTCATATTGAGAGTTTGGTAGGTTAAAGGACAATGTTTGTATCCATACGTGTCTGTCATATGTTGTAGTTAAGTTGGGTGACTATGCACTGCAGCCATGGGTCCCCGTCCCAAATTTTCAATTTTGCATTAGAATGAGGACAAATAATTTAAATATTATTAAGATTTACTACTCTAACAAATAAGGCAAGACTTTTTTGAACGATTCCGCCGACTGCGAATATTGATCATTTCAAATAAAAATAACATTTTATTTCTTGCCAATTAGCGTACACGCCTTCACGAAAAAGCGGAAATTTCAGAAAAAAATAACAGTTTTTCTTTGATTTTATTACATCCTCCACTGCCACAAAATCTCCAAAGATAAGATATGTACATTTCTTTCTAATTATATAAATTTGAAACATTTAACCATCCTATTTTACATTCACCAATAACATTTTATTTTTATTTTTTCCTCCGTCTGGATGATTTGGACAAAACTATTTGCTAAATAAGAAAACAAAATTTTATTTTTATTTTTATTCTGCACTAATCTGATAACCTATAAACCTATAAAAAAAAATAAGAACACGAAAACAATAAGGAATATTAAAATGTCTCGCCTAAGCTATGAGGCCAGGTTACAGGATTGTAACTAATTCTAGATGAGTACCTGTTGGGGAACTGCTTATGAAGACAGAGACCGCGATGGTTTTGGCATGTAAAGCAGAGTGCTGAATGTGGCCAGAAAGATGGAGGTGCCAGACAAAAGACCATTTGGACGGCCAAAGATGACAGGGCGAGCAGGAAGAACCTGATAAGAACCTAATTCTAATTCTAATTGATAAGAACCTGGTGGAAAAATGATGTCAAAATATGAATAAGTCTGATACTACTTTTAAGTACTCAAATACTATGATGATGTCCAATACATGTCATACAGTACAAGACAGCCAAGAACTTTGACACCCTCAGTATAAGTTGAGGCCAACTGTCAGAGCCTTCCTGCCCAAAACATGTGTTCTTTTTGTCGTTTGATTGTCATCTTTAATATGTGTTCAAATATCAATTAATTTTAGTAAAAAACCACATCATTGGTTTTTTCTATGTTTATTTACTATAATCACAGTTCAGAATTGAGATTTTAAGCATGTAACGGTATTAATACCAAGCTTCCAAAGATATTATGAAATATTAATAGGATATTTACTTATTATTATAAACATTTTGTTTTATGTATGACGACACTCCACTCAACTCATATTGCACTCTATATAAGATGTTTGTGCACCGTTCATTTATTTGTTTATTATTAACAATTGTTGCAGTATCAATTTCTCCCGAGTGAACTGTTATTAATTTGCAGCTTAGGGAAACATTCTACAAGTTTTTCTCATAATTTGACTGCTTTTAATGTGATGCTCTTTCAGTTTAGGTTACAATAGTTACATAAAATAAAAACAAGACTGCAATTACATAAAAAGATTTTTAAAAATGCTCTATTACCTCTTTACTGTTACTATTCAATGTTTCAACTGCATTCCTGATACTATCATAGAGGGCGCTGATCAGACTCATCATTCATGCTGTCATATATGTAGATGGGTAGCCTGCTCTGCTTGTTGTTCATCTGAAACCAGAGAGTCCCTGCTTTTGATCACAATAGACTTTACTGTGCTTTATCTTGCTGCAGAATTTCTCTGCTTTTTGAATTAAACTTGTGAAATTGATGTTGGTATCTTTTGCTGGAAGGTCAATAAAAAAATGATGATTAAGTGAGGGGTGTTAGCTAGCAGAAATATTAAAGGTGATATGAGGTGTTTTCTATTTATCGAGCAGGATTTTTTTTTACACTTTCAATGGGGGAGGGGAGTTGAGTTTTTTTTTGGGTGATCATGGATTTTTTCTTTTTTACACTTTCAATGGGGGAGGGGAGTTGAGTTTTTTTTTGGGTGATCGTGGATTTTTTCTTTTTTACACTTTCAATGGGGGAGGTTAGTTGAGTTTTTTTGGGTGATCGTGGGTCAGTGGTAGTGTAAGGCTAATTGAAATCACATTGGGCTCATAGATAGATTTACTTGTAGACATGTTTCATTGCCAACCTAATAGCAAGGAGTAATGTTTGGCAATTAGGCCTAAAATAAACTAAACACAGCAATTTGTTTCCATATGAAAACCAGTACGATTGTCCACTGCACTTTATTAGAATAAAATTCCAAAATTATGCTACAATACAATACAATATTTATTGGATAACACTTTTATAACAGTGGCACGCGTTAGACAAATTCTAATGGTGCATCCAGAAAAGAACATAGCAACAGAAATACAAAATTAAATTCTTAATTATGAGAGATTTACAAAAATAACCTGCTACAAAACACAGGTTATTCAAATGTGTGTTGTTTGTGCTTAATTTAGTAAAAAATAAGAAAATAATGAACTATAATAGCTTACAAATTATAACATGCTAAGCATAAATGTTATTTGTCTTATCAAAAAAAAAAAAATTCATAGCAAGTCTATCATGGTAAGTAATAGTTACTTATAGTAATAGTTAATTATTACTCTTTCCATAATATTACTATCATTTGTGAGGTCTCACTAAAAAATGAGTCTCATCGTTAGAAAATCAAAAAAATGAGTTTATATTACATTTTGGTAGATCACATTATAAGCTTTAATTTGGTCTTTGAATGGCTTCACTAGGATAAATAGATCCAGAGATGTTAGCATTTACAGTTTACGTGTATGAGGACCAGGTTTTGAGAATATCGGCCTCAAAGATAAACTAACCTGTACAAATAATAGGACTAGAATTACAGAATATGCGAAAAGAATACTGTTTTAGTATGAAAATTCACTTAAAAAGTACACAATCATAAAATATAAGTATCAAGTTATTCAAAAACATTAAAATCAAAATTTTGACCTATTTTGGTGAATATCTCAATAGATTTCACCAAGGATGCGTCTCATTTCGTGGTGAGATCTCACATTTGTGAGAATTATAAAATTCATACTTGATTTGAATGTTCTAAAAAATCAGAGCTGTGGTATATAATTAAAAGTAAAATATGTAATTTTTTTTAAATAATGTGTTTGTCTAATTGGTCAATAATCAGTCATTCAGTCAATTAATCAACCAGTCAGTTAATCAATCACTCAACCAATGATTGACATTAGCAGCTGATGACATGATCATTGCATTAAGTTTTCTTGAAAACTCAGATGAGAATGTGCTAATGGTGCAAATTGTCGGAAAAGAAGTAGGACTAGGCCTAGACAAATATAAGAAGGTGGAATTTGGAAATACAGTGTAATGTCTGTACAGAGAGTTCTCATTTGTCCAAGAGAAATATCCTCATTTTGATATTGACATAAGGAGAATGTGATTTCACTCCGCAGCTCAAATCATGCCAACAACCACAGTCTTGCTAAAAAAAAAATCACACGATTATTATTGAGGGTGAGCTTATTCAAATTAAAAGGCACGCTTATTCAAACAGGCCGCTTAAGGAAATTTTCAAGTTATTAGGAGCGCTTATTCAAACGGAGCGCTTATTCGCACGAGTACGGTAATACGATAACGAAGTTATTGCTTGTAGATACAAATCATTGTGTATTAGTCAAATTATCTTGAAGACTCATGTTACGTTTAACCTGGATAACGTTTTGCGCTAGATTATTTTGAGATTAATTAATAAATAGCGTCCTCAATAATATAGCACGTGAGTCAAATTTAAATATTCAGGTGCGATTGCAATTCTTCAATTGATTCAATGCTGCGTGTAAAAATTCATACTAACTTGACATTTCAAGAGTGACAGACGTGGTATGATAGGTGTAAAGTCTGCGCGTTTTGCAGGCCTATCAGAAATTGTGATAGGTGGAAGCCTGCACGTCTTGCAGGTCTATCATTTTAAATTGTATAGTGCAATTTTGGCGAATAAGACTGGTGTTCTGTCGTGGTTGCCACAAAAATGTTAAATGACGTAGTTCATGTGTGTGTGACCCAAAGTGACGATAGAAGTCTGGAGACTTTATTGGATAAATTATGGACGTCATGTTTAACAAGTTACTATCAAAAACCGTTACTGTGCTGTTTGTTTGTTGATTTGGTTTATTGCTCAGTGAAACACTTACTTGCTGTGATTGTGACTGTTTGGTCAATGGTTGTGCTGATAGGACTATTATTATACAAGGTGAAGGAGCAACTACGTGTTGGCGACGATTCGTGTGTTGCGACTCTTATTATTCGTCGGTATGATACAAGCACTGCAAAAGTAAGATGGTTTCAATGAGATTTGAAATTGGAGCACTTCTCTAAATAAGCCTGATACTTTGTGACATTCGCGTATTTATATCTGGCTGTTTCAATATAAGTTTGTCTAGGCACAGCTATCAAATATAAACCTAAATATAAGTTATGTTTAACATGGTCATTTTTTAGACGTATTATCTGCATACCTTATCATGTTGTTGAAAGTGAAATATATATTATGTAGAAAATATAAGAAAATCTAAAAATAATGAAAATTGTGTTATATACCACACCATGTTAATGAATGAAAACGAGTGGTGGTACTGTATATACTGTCTGATGAATTAAAATTAAATATAAAGAAACTACAATAAAATTGTCTTGGTTCATTTTTGATGTCTATTATCTGAGGACAGAATCTAATTACCTTGAACTTGGGCGCTAACTCAATTTAATATCTAAATGCAAGTTAGCAACTCATTTTCTAAATTGCATGTAAATGATGGACTTCGTTATACCTATTGTATTCATTTTTACTGTGTAAATAATACAAAAACAATCATTTAATACAATGTGTTGTGTAACAATGACTGCCTGCCGTAACACATCAACAATATAGTGAATATTAAACCTTTAAATCTTGGTGTTAACATGCAGTCAATGAGTAAAACGTAAGATCAAAGTATTACATAACTATAAATAATAAGTAAAATTCAATAACTGACTAACAATAAATTATATTTAATTTAAACAAACTTTATAATTTGTATTTTCAACTATTTATCCTTATTTCATTTAAAATAAATGTGTATAATATATAGGCCTAATTCAGAAATAAGGCATTGCTCATACATAAGATTTGGCAGTTGATATTTAAAGTTTACTTTGCGATTTTCCAACACTTTAAGTGATTGGCTTTAGGATCTATTTGTATTTACAAAGAAGATAGACCCTAAATTATAAAAATAAAAATACTTTTTGAGAGGAGAATATGTACCTACCTGTGTTCTCCAGCTGTATCAGTGTAAAATGACTCTGGTAAGGCAATGATAAACCCAAGGTTTTGAGGGCCTAGAAGTACTTTTTCACTCAAACACAGGATCTTTTTTAGCCACAACTTTCCTCAGATTTAACCCAATAATTGTTGTGAACTTAGAAAAAGTTGCTACGGCCTTCAGAAAGTAAACTACTGGAAATACACTGGTGTTGACATCGGTTTTGCCTCGGAATAGCTTCTTGTATCTAACAAAGTAAACAAACCCAAAACCAATAAAACAACACACTCTCAATTGTTTGTCAAGCCCTGTCCACCCTATCAAACTTTATTTCACAAAATGGCCATCAATACTTTCAGATGACATCATCTCATGACCATATATAGGCACAGCATCACTATATATGGCCATCAATACTTCTTTTTGTCAAAGAATATTTGATAATCTGGACAGAGCTTAAGGCTGTGGATGACAGATGCT